AACTAAAGACCGCATCGAGTGTATGACCTGCACAATGTGTAGGCCCGACAACCAATTGGGATAGGCCCATGTTAGTCATGGTTTCCATGAACTCCCGAGCCGCGCCTGTTAACCCCATGCCGCAGCCCCGATTCTCTCTTTTGCCACCCCCAAAAGAGCAGCAAAATGCCACTCCTTTTAGAGGTGGCAAAAGGCCACCCTAAGAGCTGGCACCATGGCTCTTCCATGCCCTTTTGGTGTCTACATGCTGTGCCGGGAGGGCGTCTTGACACTGCGTGCCGTGCGTACAGGCGTATGGCATCAGGACAGCATTGGGGTGGAGTTGGAACGGCCAGTGTTTGGCTGCCCTACCCCAACTCCACCTCCAGGCTGGCCCTTTAGGTTGGTCTACAACACCCCTCAGTGCCCAAAATAGAATATTGATAGATATGTTTATATAGAGACCCAGCATGGTTTAGCAGTTTGAACATAGGACTAGGACTCTGGAGATCAGGGTTCAATTCCTGCTCAGCCATGGAAACCCACTGGGTGACATTGGGTGAGTCTCACCCTCTTAGTTCCAGAAAACCACATGATAGGTTTACTTGAGGGCCACCATAAGTCAAAAAACACTTGAAAATACACAACAACAACAACCAAACTTTTAACTAACGGGCCTTCTCAGTGGCTGCTCCCAAACTCTGTAACTCCCTCCCTAGGGAGGCCACGATGGCTCTATCCTTGCTGTTCTTCCGGCAGCAGACAAAGATGTTTTTTTGTTGCCAGGCCTTCACATGACATGGATGCTGTTTTGTTTTTTGTTTTAAATAATTTTAAACTGTAAAATTTTAATAATGTGAAGTTTTTAATTGTTTGAATTGTTTAATAGATTTTTAAACTTTGTATTTTTAATGTTTTCTACTTTTTAACTTGGAGTGTGTTAGATTTGTTAACCTCCTTGAGTTTCTGTGTTGGGAAGAAGGCGGGATATTAATAATAATAATAATAATAATAATAATAATAATAATAATAATAATAATAATAATAATGGTAAATATATAAATCAGAAAATTTGGTACCTTTAATATTAATCTGAATTCTGTTATTTTTAGTAATGGTAGGCCTGAGTGGTTCAGTGCTAGCAGGACCAATGTCTTCCTGTTCACAGCTGGATTTGAGGACCTGAAGAAGCAAGACATATGCATTTGGTTTTGTCCATACCCATGTAAATGTGCAAAACACTGAAGATTATTTTGTCTATGTTGTTTATTCCAATTTGAAAACCCATTGGCTTCATAGAATCCTAGAAGGTAGCTTGGAGTCTATCGAGTCCAACTCCAATTCAGTACAGAGTCTTCAATGAAAGAGGAAATGTTTCTGAGAGGTAGCCATCTAGCCCTTGTTTAATATGCACAAAGAAATGGAGTCCACCCCTTTCTCAGGTAATCTGTTGCACTGACAAATTCCTCTCAATGTTAAGAGGCAGCTGCTGCTGCAAGACAGCAGAAGGAAAGAGAAATAAAGCATTGTAGGAAGAGATCAGCAGTGTTGTGGTGGGAAGCAAGGTTCTGGAGAAAGGGATGTAGCAATAATACAGTCAGCTTTTTTCCTTCCACATCAGATGGTAACAGAATTCCATCCACCCTTCTTACAATCAATCTCAATTTTGTTAGGGATATCCAATAAAAATGCATAATGCTGCTACATCAAGCAAGTCATGAAAAAAAACAGACTCGGTGGAACCTTACATATTAATCATGTCATTTCAGCTTCTACCCTGCTTTATTGCATCCCTCCTCCTTCTTTCCACTGGCTCCATTGCTTTCTGTGCAGTCTTTGAAAGAGGTTCTGGAACTTCAACTAGACTTTCTCCTAGAGTAGTACTTCCCAACCTTTAGCCTTTCCTTTGTTTTGGACTTCATCTTCCAGAAGTCCAAACAAGCAGGAATTATGGGAGCTGAAGTCCAAATCATCTGGAGGACCAAAAGTTGGGAACCACTGCTCTAGAGCTATAATACTAACCCAGAAACTGGAATGAGACAAGGTAGTTCACAAATGTCAGTCATAGGTTGGCTTGTGAGGTTAAACACAGTCAAAGGCAAGGGTTGGCTTTTATCTCACAAAACAAATGAAGAGGAGAATGATTGCACATTTAGCTCCACAACTCTGCTCTTACAAGGGATGGAGACTTGCTTTTTTTTTTTAAAAGAAGTTTGTACTTCATAACAGGGTGGGCACGGGGATGATCCAATGGCCACCAGATAGCATGCCTCGAAACTGGGTGAAACATGGTCAGATGAGTGGTATAGAGGCCTTATCTTCTTGCTTATCCTAGACAACAAATCCTTATATGGTTCTGTTTCCACATTAAACACAATTGTCCTTGGAGGAAAAGACCATGGCCCGAAACAGATGGGTCAAAAGGACCTTGGTGAGACTACACCAGTGCCATTCACATCAGCGCCACACACGACCAGCCCTGATCTGGGCCACTACCACAGTCCTGAATCGGGCAGCAGGAAGGAGTAGATTTTTCCCACTCCTTTTTGGCCAAGTTCTGTGGTGATGGCATGGTGTTGGCATGGTTTCCAGCTGCATTCAGGGCATGTGTCATCTAAACACTACACCTCAAACATGGCCAGAAACTGCATCATTTGGTCCATCTGTTTTGGGCCCAAGGTAAATTACTAGCTAAGTAGTTCTGCCTTCTCTCAACCACTAACTAACTGTCTTAGCAATTTATCCCATTCTCATGTTTTCATTCTCTCTCAAACACTCTCTTCCAAACATTTGCTTGAGATTTAGGGCCCTTGCAGACTGCCAGAAATAATGCAGCTTGAGTCCACTTTAACTGCTCTGGCTCAGTGCTTGGGAATCATGGGAACTGTAGTTTATTGTGGCACCAGAGCTCTCTGACAGGGAAGGTTCAATGTCTCAGAAAAAAAACCACCTGGGCCCCAAAATCATGATTTCACCAAACCTATTAGACCAGGAGCTCTTGGTCCACAGATCCCTGAATTGAAACTTCCAAGAACCACACCTGTAGGTACCAGCTTGCTCATGTTCATTTGTTAGAACAGACAGCGAGCATAAGGGGAATTTTCAGAGAAGATAAGAGATGGGCTCCAAGCCAGAGGCCTCTTCATTTAAGAAATTCCTCTCCTCCAGTTTGTAATTGGTGGTCTCGCCCAGGAAATCTTTTAATCAAGATATTGTTGAAGCCAGTTGCTCACTGAGAGCTTTCTGCTGCAGTTGATGCCTACCTCATCCCTTTGTGTCCTAGATTCTTGTCTAGGGAAAGATTGGAATGGGGTGGAGTAACCTTATCTTCATTAACCTTCAATCAGTTTCAGGGCTCTCTTGGAGCAGTATCAGAGAAGTCCTATTGTTGAACTGAGATCAACCTTCTTGCCTGAATTCTTGCTTTGCAGTTCTAGTCCTGCCTATAAATATCACTTAGAACAAGTCAGATTGCTGTTCTAGATGATAGCCGCATGTTTTTGCTGAAGAGTAGTTCTGTTCTGATCTACAAATGGTGGGTCTCCCACTTGGGTGAAAACCCTTCCTGTAGAGATGTAGGGACTACAACTGCAGAAGTAGTACTGGCTGCAGAAAAGCATGATTTAAGGTTGGGGGGGGGGACTATGGGCCTTTACAAACTGCCAGAAATAGTGCAGCTTGAGGCCACTTTAACTGTCCTGGCTCAATGCTAGGGAATCATGGGAATTGTAATTTTTTTCTTGGACATTGAGCCTTCTCTGTCTGAGAGCTCTGGTGCCACAATAAACTACAGTTCCCATGATTCCTTAGCACTGAGCCAGGGCGGTTAAAGTGGCTTCAAGCCACACTATTTCTGGCAGTCTGTAAAGGCCGTATATGAGCCTGTCCCAGTCAGTCTTCTGCTGCTTTGAAGTTTCTGTCTCCTGTCTCTTCATATTTGAAATGGATTAGATGATCACTTCAAGACTGATTAGGGATGTTTTGGTTTTAGGTGGCAGGAGTTCCATCCCTTATTTATTCTGCATTTATTCTACATTTTGTGAAATATCTTTAATTTTAAAAGTTGCTTTGGTCAGATTTTGGCAGGCATATCTGAAAAAATTAATAAGTAGGGTCCAGAATATCAGCATGGTATAGTGGTTTGAACATTGGACTGCAACTCTAAAGATCTGGGTTCATTTCCTTGCTCAGACATGGAAACCCACTGGTGACCTTGGCTGAATTGCATACTCTCAGTCCCAGAAAAGTCTCTGATATGTTTGCCTTAGGGCCTCCATGAGTCAGAAATGACTTGAAGGCACACAACAAAAACAACAAAGGGTCAAGATTATGTGAACATCCTTCTGTGCCTTTATTGTTTGTTTGTTTGTTTGTTTAAAGCAAGGGTAGGCAACCTTTTTGAGCCGGGGGCTGAAGCACTAAAAATAAATAAATAAATAAATAAATAAATAAATAAATAAATAAAAATTTAAAAAAAATAAAAAATAAAAATATATATTCATGCAAACTCTCTCAGCCCCAGAAAAGCCATGGCAAAACCCCTGTGGAGATTTTGCCACGAAAACCCCAAGAACAAGTAATAACAACAATAATCAATATCATCATGACGGATGGTGGTGGTGACGGGGGGCGGCGGCAGCGGTAGGACTGGCCTGAGGCCGGTCCAAAGGCCTTGGAGGGTCGCATCCAGCCCCCGGGCCTTAGGTTGCCTACCCCTGGTTTAAAGATACCAGAACAGTGTGCAAATATAGGGAAATGTTAAATTTAATGAAAACATTAAAATACAATGGAAACAAATAATTAAAACCCAGAAGAGAAGCAAACAATGACAACACAATGATAAAACTTTTTGGTGGTTGGCAATTTATAAGGCTTACCACTCAGGACTGTGAGACCGATGCAGTGGCCACATCTCAGCATTCTGGCTTGCCCAAGTTCTCTGTTCAGAGATGTGGGGGAAAGGGAGCAAAACAAACAAACAAACCCTCCTTACTCATCTGAAAAGTTGCAGCTTTGAGGAGAGGTAAAATTTTACAGAACTGGCCTTTCCAGATTTACCCTTGTTAGATGGTGGGTTCCTGCACACACATCCTCACAAATCATTTCAACAAATGTAGTCATGATACATATCCAGGGGTAGCCATATTGTCCATGTAGCAAAGTACAATAATATCCCAAATCCACAAAACAGTGATATTTTTATTGCCCATCTGAAATGCAAAAAATACATGTGGCAAGCTTTTGAAGCTACACTGTCTTCATCAGGCAAAATTGTAAAAAATCACATAGTAATGAAGAGCAGTCCTGGTACATCCTTCAGCCAAACAGAGATTATTCAGACCAGAGGGTGGAACTGTGCCTGGGTGTTGTCCAACAGTGATTGTGCAGCCTAGGAAAACAGTCATACATGGAGGTACCAGATACCTCTTTCTGAAATGTCATAAAAAGTAGTTACGTTGACATAGCCCCAAACAGGTTAGCATAAATCACTGAGAAGATTCTGGCCATATGTTCTAATCCTAACCACAACAGACATTCTTGCTCTTGTCTCTCTACAATCTCAACATAACATTGAAAACGACTGCTGAAACTATTGGCGGACAGCAACTGGCTGCCCACAGTTGGAACAAGAGGGGACACCTAATCCTACAGGAAGAGGAGGAGAAGGGAGAAAGGAAGGGGAGGTGAAGGAGGAAGCACCCTCCCACCCTACTTCTACTACCAATCACACACTGTATTGCATCCTGTTGTAGCCAGATCTTAAGACTGGCTATCAAAAATGAAACACTCTATGTGCAGAATTTTATGAGTGAACAGGGAAACTGGAAAACCAGTACATTTTTGAATGATGAATGGAAACAGGGAGATTCTGACAGATGTGCTTTTAAAACTGATGAATGTTGAGTGACAAGTGACAATTTTTTGGAAAGTTGTTCAATGTTAATCCCATTTTATGGTTAAGCAAATGTAGAATTGCCTGACAAATCCTCTTAGAGATTGTACTTGCTGTTAAAAGCTGTGCCTTACTTCATCCAGAAGGGCAATTAATCCTCCCTCAAGCTGCAGTAAAAAAAATTCTAAGATATTAGTTATTGATTTAATGTTTGGATATAAACTTTGAAAGGTCACACTTGAAGATCCTAATCCATTACCTGGAAGTGTAATGTTTTCTCTGGAGAAATGTTCTATAGCATTGAACTTTTAATACATGCAGTTCCTAACCTTCACTTGCTAAGAAAAGTACGATAATAATTTAAAAACTTTGTTGCATTGCAGACCACCTTTGCTTTGCTTGTTCTTTAGAGCCCAGAATAACGCAGAACTGTGTGGCAACACAAAGTATCCAGCACTGCTGTCCACAGAGATAGCTAGGCCAAATATTTGGATCTGAAGGGTCCTTCCTGAAATCCAAGCATTATGGATTTACTTCATCAAAGCAAGACATTTTGAGCCTGGCTGGTCCTGGAGAGATAAATGCTAGGGCCAGCAAGGCTCTTTGGGAAAGGGATGTGGGGTGGAAAGCTCTAGGTGGCATGAATGCCACTGCCCTTCATATTGTGTCCCCTGAGGCAGGCACTTTACTTTGCTTAATGGGGGAGGGCAGCCCCAAGCTAGAATATTTGGAGAAGTGTTCTTTTTCCAGATCTTCAAATCTTGCCAGGTTCATATGGAAGAAGGCAGTCATTCAAATATCTTGGTCCCAAGACATTTATCACTTTAAAAATAATTCCTATATTTTGAATTGATCCCTAACAATATAACTCTACAATGAAAACCACAGTTCCACACAGTCACTGGATTGTTCTGTTCTGAACAGTCATGAAAGGTTGCCCCACATGTAGTATGTTATAGTGATCTAACTTAATTGTCATCTCTGTTTTACACAGCAATAGTTAAAATTTTCACCCTTCCTACAGTACCTAATATGATCAATCGTACATATTCATTTCTGGCCATTTATTCACATGATTCTACTCCTGTTAACCACATTGTCCACTTAAACTGAAACTCCTGCCAAAGAGCTTGTACCCCATTTAATTTGGAGATATTGGCTGGTTGGGCTGAGAGAATAATATACAACACCAAAGCCATGTACTATGTGTGGAGGTTGGAAGGTTATGCTGAGTAGTTTGCATGGACCTGAAATACAGTCCATTATAATATTTCTAGGTCAGAAATACCAGTGAAGCTGGGGGTGGAGTGGAATGGATTCACAACCAAAAGTCCCTCATAACTTTCATGTTGCAGCAAAGGTCAACCTTCTTAAATTACCCTTCACACCTCCCCCCAGACCAAATTAGTTACTCCTTTGTATGCAGATACATCCTGTATCATGCACTTGGATAAGAAAAATTTTATTGCACTTTTAACACTGCAATCCTATCATTTGCTAATTTGACCCTATTTGTATCTTATTACAAAATATTTTGTATTGTATAATATTTGTATTGAATTACATGTAATTGACACAAAAAACTTTTAGAGGAAATCAAGTCAAGAACTAGGTTGTCAAAATTTAACATGTGCTGTAGTCTTTTAATATTATTATTCCCATTAATGAGACTGTATTTCTTCTAATAATGAAATAACAATAACAAATTTTCTGTATTGTTATGTCTAATTTTGGGCAAATCTTTGTAAATGGTTGGATGCATCCATCCTTGTTTAATGTCTCAGTCTTCTACTAGCTATTGATTAACTAGCTTTACATTATTTCTGTTGAATTTCAGTGGCGTGGTGTGCTTGAAAAACCAGCAGAGCCAGGGAACAAAAAACCAAACTTTTAAAAGTAGAGCTTTATTGTTTCAAAAGGTAAAAATAAGCAAAGAAAAAAATACAGTCCACCATAGGATCACATCATGCTGATGTGGTTGAACAAAAGAGTTACAGATACATGTTTCCAGATCCTGAAGTTACATTGTAAAAGCAATATAAGCATATTATAGTCCAAGAATTAACTCCATAGTTCAGGAGTAGGCAACCTTTCCCCTTTAAGGGCTGAGGGACTTCATCTCCCAGAAGCCTCAGCCATGTTGGCCAATAGCTCCTGGGATTCTGGGAGCTGAAGTCCCTCGGCCCTTAAAGGGAAAAGGTTGCCTACCCTGCCATAGTTAGATCCATTGCAAACACACACACAATCAAGAAGAAGCATGAAATATAAACAATTCTAAACAAAGGATTTCCCAGCCCTCCCTTTCTCCACTTTCTGGTTGTTAACCTTATGCTGATTGGATGTTATGTGTATGATGTTTGTTAACCCAGCCCCTTGCTGTCCATCATCCATCACGTGGTTTTCTTTCCCAGGCTAACAATGTTTTGAATACTGTTATCTGAACTCAGCTGCCTTTCCCAGCTAGAAACTTCTGATGTTATGACTCTCTGGCCACCTGGACTGGGTTGTTTTTGTCTGCCTAGACGTTGTTCCCATGAGGAAAATTACAGACACACATCTTTACATTTCACCTTTGACTGTATATCCCATCTATATTCTAACAATTTCAATGTGTACTGTTTTTAATTACAACATTCCATTTAAACAGCTTACATTTAAATATATGAATCTATTTTGCTAAACTCCAAAGTTTGTGGCAAAGGCATTAATAAATTAATTTTAAACCTGGTGTTATGAAAATCACTTTTGTAAAATAGTGGGAAAAGATGTAAACAGTCAACATTCAGCTGGTGAAACATTTCATACATAATGAAAATTATCATTCTTTTCAGGAATTTGGCTACCTATAGCCACATCCACCAGAAACAAACCAAAAAAAAAAAAATCCCCTCTTTTGTGGCATAAAAAAGTAGCACATAAGGGTGGAATTTCAAAATAAGACTAGCATGAAGCTGTTGAATTACAACTTGTCAATAAATTTGATTCTATGCCAGTGGTGTGAATCAAGATTACAGATTGTCATTGCACTGCATGTGTTAGTTCTCTTACCAATGCTGTTTGTGTTATTACCAATACTTCATATTGTTACTGTACCTGTTTTGCTTTGGCATTACGATTGCTATCTGTTCTGTTTGCATTGTTGCACTCTGATTTAGTCTTCATCACCACCCATGTACTTGTGCACACATGCATATCTGTTCTTGTGTGCATGTGTATGCCTGCCAATGTAGAATCACACTTCATACTGAAACAAGTGTGGTTCCCCACCCCCTTCTCTTTAATGAGGAACTGAAGGCTTT